AAGATAGATCAATACATGGGTAAGAGCTGGTCCCTAAAGAGATTAACTCATTGGTAAAGGGAGGGAAGGAAGAGTTGGCTGGAGGAACAGCTGGGCGCAAAGGGACATGGACTTGAGGACCAGTGTGAAGGCTTTAGAAGTAGCCTCCTGTGGGAGAGTGCAGACTTGAACCGAGAGAAAACACAACTCCAGAAGACCGAAGTTACACGCTGGGTGGGGTATGAGTGGGTGAACAGGGAGACCCAGGAAGCCTAAAATATGGACCACTCTATCCATAACACACAACCATCAGTCTCTCTGTGTATGCAGAAAAAGAGCCGGCTGGGCCCTTGAGAAGCTGGATTTGCCCTGAGAATATGTTCCAACAGGGACCCTCGAGCCCCTAAGGGATTAAATGGGGGCTCAAGAGCTAGACATTTGACCAGGAAAGAGTTAATACACCTAATTTTAGGAAAAATTACTACTCAAATAAGTAACATAAGCAAAATAGTCCCCAAACATATAGACGGGTTCTCAAACTCTAAAGACCTTTCTAGTAACTTTAAGATCCGAAAGGGTTCTCAGGTGTTGAATAAAAAGGTGCAGAAGTTACACACCAACCACACATACCAGTCCATAAACCAGTTTCACACAGTCATTTCTGAATAATCTGGTTAGCAACAATGACAAATTATCCCACCATATTTTAATGGGACATTGCTGTTATACAAAATCAAATTTGAAATTCACTGTGTGCCTCTTGGTATGCTAGACATATTAAATTTCTCACAGAAAAGCAATGTACTTATTTTTTACTTGTTTTTACTATTTTTGAAGTTTACAGATTGTCACCTAAAACACACGTTGTAATGGCCAAGGAAAGTTACTTGTGTGTTAGTAAGTCAAACAAAGATGACAAATTCAAGGTGACAAGTGTGTTCTCATAAACTCACGGCGTGAACGAGGGTCCCCAGCACGACAGCACTGTCCACGCAGCGCCCTGTCAGGACGATGTCGGCCCCGAGGTCCAGGGCCCTGCTGATCGGTCTTGCTCTGTGGGAAACAGGACACCCCTGTTATAAGGTTTTAACCCAGGTCAGACTAAAGCTTTCAATTCAAACAAACACAACTGCTCATCACTTTGTCCAATGACTCACATATGCTTCAGGTAATTTCAGGCATAAAATGGTGTGGACAAAAACACTATCCTGGATACTTCTGTTATTATTATCGATATTTTTATCAATATCGATTATTTTCAATACTTATTGATATTTTAAAATCAGTATTTCCCGTGGGACTGTTGGTCAAGTATTCTGTCAGCGTCACACCCATTCTACATGCCGGTTTATCTGGGTGCCCGATTCCGGAACGTCAGTCTTTTTCCTTCCTGGATACTATTTCACAGTCTCCTGGTGTCCAGCTTTACTGTGGAGAAGTGTGTGATCAGTCTAATAATCGATGTTTGTGTATTGTCTTTTGGGGTGCTCTTATGATCTTGGTTTTTGGTTTTAGACAATTGCACTGTGCTATATGATTTTGTCTAATCTGCTTGGGATCAACTCTCCTTCTTGACCCTACAGATAAATATGTTTCGCCAGCCCTGCACAGTGCTCAGCCACTGTCCCTGGACATTGGCCCCCCCCACCCCCACCCCATCCTTCATGTTCTCTTCCAGCACTCTTAATGGGATAGAACACTGGACCTCACAATTCCATCCACATATCTCTAACTTCTCTTCCATTTTCCATCTCTTTCACCTGGGCTGCATTCCCATAATTTTCTCAGATCCATTTTCCAATTCATTAATCTTCCATTAATTGTATCACATCAGCTGTTTATGCATTGAGTTTTTATTTCAAAGATTATATGTTGGATTAATAAAGTTCATGTGGTTTCAATTTAAATCCATGTAGGCCTTCAGTGAAAGCTCATCCTCTGCCCAGGTTTTTGTTCCATCTTTCTTTCTTTAGACACCTTTAACATGATTATTCCATTCTGCATCGAATTATTCCAGGTATGACTTCTGTGGACATTTGCATATGCTTTGAAATGTCAGGTTGTGAACTCCTATTAAGTTTGGTGAGGCTTTATCTGTGCAGCAGCCTCTTTTAGGGGAACATCTGGATTGGCATTTGCTTCTGCCAGATGGACTGGGGACATGAGCAGCCACGAACTTCTTTAAGTAAATTACTTAAAAGCAACAGAAGCACCAAGCACACAGAGCCCCATCCTTCCAACCTCTTATAACCGAAGCTTTTAACTCCCAAGGTTTATAGTTATATTCTTCCAATAGCAGGACTCCTCCTGCTATTGGTTTGGATGGGTCGGGGGGACACCGCTGCGGCAGCCTCAGCTGTCAGAGAACGTCTGCCTCCTTCACCCCAGGCCTCTTCCGTGGTCTGGGAGCTACAGACTATGGCGGTCCTTGAGAACGTCCTGTTGATAGTCGTCCTATGAGTTTCTGCTGCTACCTGGCACCCTGGGAGAAAGGCCTTTTAAGTGATCAACACTTTGAAGCTACTCCTGTCCATCCGCACTGAGGATGGAAGGGAGGGAGGGCGACGGGGAGGGATAAAGAACAAAAGAGGAAAGACCTTGCCCAAGGTACACATTCATGCTTCTCATGGTGTCTGGAAACTTCTTCCCACTCCCCATGTCTGTGAGAGCTGATCTCTGCAGAGCCTCCTTCTACAGATAGTTTACAAAAATATTTTAAACCTTGATTCATAGACAGCTTACTTTTTGTCCTTATACAAAAGTAGATTTACAGTTGTTCATGTGGAAAAATATATAATAATTAATAATAATATAAAATAAACTGTGTTTTGCATACTCATAACTGTAAGCCTACTTTTGCCCCACCCTGTACATGCTAAAACCATAAAAAACATCTAGTAGATAAGTAGAATTCTATACATTTTGTTACTGACATAAAGGAAGTAACATGTACTGAACATGGTATTCTGTTCCTGGCACTTTCCATGCAGTGTCCCACTTACTTTTCCGAGCAGCCCTGTACGGCAGGGATCACAAGCCCCCTGGTGTAGACACAGAACCTAACAGAGCGAGAAAGGCTGAGCGGAGCCTCGTGGAGAAGCGTGTCAGCTCTGGAGCCCAGCAAAGCCCCTGGCTCCTCCGTGCTGCTCTGAGGTGCTCCATCTTTAAAGCAGGACACTGGTGGTATCGATCCCACAGGGTTGCTGTAAATACACACAGAATCTGCTCTTGCGCTTACAAAGTGATATGTGGAATTTGAAAGCCCATATAGCAATTTCTCTCTGGGAAAGAGTCACGTTTCCTACCCAGCCAAAGTTAAGAATAAAAGTTATCAGTACATTTCCCCGAAAGACAAGAGTTTTGTTTTGTTTTTTCTGCTCATGATCATGAAACTACGTGTTTGGGAACTCCTGATGCAGGCACGTTTTCCCAGGCAAAGCACCAAAGCACTGGAGACAGCAAGGGTATGGGGTGGTCTCTACAACCCCCTCCCCTCGAAAAAGGGGCTCAGACTAGAGTTCCAGAAAGCAGGACAGAGCGCCTGAGAGCTGTGCGAACCACCACAGCACCAGCTGAAACTGCTGAGATGTGGTCGTTCATGAAAGGAGCATGTGATCGCCTTACAGAGGCCCCGAAGGTGCTGAGGACACTTTCTGTTCCCTGAAGTCTGTCCACAGCACCAAGTGGCACCAAAGCCGAAAGCAACTTCACCACCAAAGGGTAAAGCCGGGACTGCTCTGCCAACAGGGATTTGGTGTTTTATATATAGTATAAGCCACACCTATTCTATATGATGTAATATATGTATACACATGAAAAACGTGTAATACTATGAAAAATATATATTTTATGTTGTGTTCAGTTACTATTACAACAGGAGTAAGCAGAGTTTTGGCTATTGAAAGCCAAACTCTGATATTCCTAAGGCAGGTACCTGCTTCATGGTATCACTGTTTCCATGATTAGTTTTCTACGAAAAATTAAAATGTCTCCAGAGAGATTTTCCTCTCCATAAGGGACAGACAGGTCTACAGTTTCATTCTCTTGATAAGATCCTGTGTATTTGTCATCACGTTGGGATGCTTAGAGCAGAAGTCTTCCACATGCTGAGATAACATAACGTTTAAAATAAATCGATGGGCCGTTATGGCAGCAAATGCATGCAGAGCAGTTAGAAGGAGGATACGGATGAATTAAAAAGGTACCATTGACAAAGAAATCAGAAGCTCTGCCCAGCTATCTCCACGGCAGTTTTCACACGTCATCAACTCAACCTGCACCGACAGGAGGGCGTTTAGCAGGCCTAGATGAGAGAGTCCAAAGCTCTCATAAGGTAAAGGTAATTAGTAGACCTGTGCTGTTCACACTCCAACAATTAAGTCAGTTGATATTTTGTGTGCCCCTGACAGCTCACACAAGCAAAAACAGTTTGCCTTTCACAAGAGGGATGTGACACCCTTTGCGTTTCACGGGAGCCAAGCTCAGACGGTACTAAGGAATCAGCGCCACTGAAACACCTGGTGCTTGCCTGAAACATCTAGCTTGTCAAGTTGAAGTGTTAATAAAAGAACTTACTCATTCCATTCCCCTTCCTGTTGTGACACAGAAGGTATCACCTACAGCAAGATCCATTAACTGGAACCCAAACGATGTTAAGATTAGAAAGGTTAAGTAATGACTTGTGCTAAATAACTTCATGCTTTTGTAAGAAGCACAATTTCAACTTAGACCTCCATGTCCAAAGAAGGGTCCAAAGTTATTTTAAACACTGTCTTCAGTGAACCAATAAATCCTTCATACCATACATACAGGTGGTTTATAAATGTAAATGGATAACCAATCTAGGCAGATGACATATCATATTTTCTAGACTAAAGTAACACAGACCAGAAAGAGTTATACCAAAATCCAATAGTTAGACCAAGTTAAATGATCTTAATTATTCATCACATGATACAATGGCTTCTTGCTTAGGAGAATATCACTCAAAGGCCAACGACCTCTCCCATGATGTCATCTCCAGTGACCACTGCTATGTTCAGGTCGACGCCAGCCTTCCTGGCCATCTCGTCAAGGGCGGCAGCACACACGAGAGGGTTGGTGCCCCCAGCATTGCTGATCACATGCAGGTCTGTGGGGAGAGAGACACCGTGGCGGTCACTCTGATGCTCCGTCATCGGCTTTCATTCACTGAACTGCTTTCTCTCCCCCTTGTTTTTTGTTTTGTTTTGTTTCATTTTGTTTTTCTTTTAGAGGCAAACAGCCCAAAGGCGTCCCTACACAATATTTAAGTGGCCGAGGCCACTTCCGGTGTTTACGCTTGCTCATCAGATGCATGGCTGGTAACTGACATGAAAGGAGATGTCACCATTGGTCCTAATAAAAAGATCTGTAGTCTATTAGAAAATTACTATTTCTAATTTTAAAAATTCTCCTGATTTTTCTAAATGATCCTCTAGAGAGGACTAATCCAATCAATTACACTTTAAAAACTCTAATCTGTGACTTGATCTCTGAAAGTGATTTGCTGAGACAGGCCAGGAGAGTAAGATAGACTGGTTTAAACTAGAGATTTAAAATCCCAGATTTCTAAAGTAGAGAGGCCTTTAGTGATCACCTAATCCAGGAGTTCTTATTTTTTCAAGATTCATTATCCTTTATGGAATCCAATAAAAGCTATGGATTCCCTCCTTAAGAGAAAAACACTTTTTTGCTTATAATTGCAGGGGCATGTCAGATTCCCTGAAGCCCACCCTTAGACACCCCATTAAGAAACTTTGATGAAATTCAACCACCTCATTGATAGACGAAGAAACTTAGGTGCAGAGGAGCTACACAACTTGCCCAGGGTCGTGCAGTTTGTTGGGGGCAAAGTCAGGATGAAAATCCTGCCAGTCCCACTTCCTGTCTGTGTATTCTGCGTTGTTCGACTCTGCATCTCTGTATGGACTTGTGTGGGTGGTCAACGGCCGTCAGACAAAATCTGCAAAAGGCTCTGAATGCTCTGCTGAACCACTCCCACTAACTGGCCAAAGAATGATTGTTAATTATAAATGACCAGAATTTACATCCACGAATCCTCTTTCTAACTAAAGACAACATTTTTTTCTCTGTTTTCACTTTCTTCAACCTATTCTCTTCCTTCCCCCGTCTTTCCACCCCACCAACACTTTCTTGAAAAACGCCCTCCTCCGTGGGTCCCGGGGACTGCACTTCCCAGGTTCTTCCCCGTCTCTTCCACAGTCTGCCCCTTCCTTCCCCTCACATGGTGTATCTCCTTCTTTGCCTCCACCAGCCCTCCCCTTTCCCTAAAGCTCAACCCTACTCTCCTTTATAACCATTCCCATCCCTCACCTTCAGAAATCCTTCCCAATAACGGTATCGACCAATCCTTCTATTGAAAGAAACTCCCACCCTCAAAACTGTTTCTATTCCCACCCTCTCACCCAGGAAGAAGGGTGTTCACTTACATCTTATGATTCCAAAATAAAATGTAATGTACAAATAACAGATTTATTACCAATACTTAAGGTTCATAAGAAGTTTTGGCAAATCTGACTGACACCTTGCTTTCCTCTTTTTCAGGATTACTGATCTTTTTAAAAAGGGCATATAGCTTCCTCTAGTGGAAAATAGCAATACTTTACAAAACAGACCCTCCTAATGTGTATTCTAAGGTGCATTAACAATAAAACCATGGGTACATCAGACTAGTAATTACCCAAAGCTCTTCCTCCTAAAGTTTTTCATCTTCAAGATCTTAAACAACAGCATACTATAAGGGATTTATCCTTTGTAAGCAGAAATACAGTTTCAGTGCTTAATAGGTATTCAGTAATGTCACCTGAGACTACCACAGGACCCAGCTGCGAAAGACTTCCTGTGTTCGTCCAACAGACCACAGCACCAGATAACGAGGCCAGAAACTCGGATGTGGTTCAAGCAAGGTGAGCAGCTTTCAGGAGTCCCATAGCCGCATGTTTCAGTCTGACCCCAGGAGAGACCCAGGGGAGAGGAGTGACCCAGTATAATTATAACTCTCCGACTGGAAATCAACCCAAATATTCTAGTGGATTGACGCTGGCTATGTTTTTAAATATTCTTTCACCCAATAGCAACTACCTTCTTTCCTGAGAACCACATGAACATGGCTAATAAAGGCTGTTGAATGTTCAGTGAGTTATTTGCTTTTAGTAACATATATATATTTACCTATATTATATAATACATAAATACATATATTATCTTCAAATTTGACATGCCATTAGATACAGGAAATTAAGACGATTTAGTGACACACATTTTTCAAATTACCTTTTTTATGAATGTCCTTTTTGTATGGAGCCATGGCAGTCTGTAGAAAATCAGGAACATAGCCCAAGTCCTAAATTATAAGAATAAATGTGTTATCTGCTAGTGAGTGAGTATTTAGTTACTTGCAAGGCTACATTAAATTTTAAGTAGCTGTAAGATTCATGTTGTCTAAAAAAAGAAGTAATCCCTAGTGAATTTAAGAATATAACCAGTCAATGGAAAAATCTAACGTTATGTTCAAAATAAACTTAACTTTCATTATTACCAAAGAGATGACAAAAGGATGACAACTAAACAAATTAGTCACTTCTCTTTGGTGATCCATCGTGGTTTTAACTCGAAAGTTTTATTAAAAACTAATTTTCCAACACTATACATGTCCTGAAAACACCTTAGGCTAGCTCTCAAGAGAAGCTAATGATTTCACATTAAGTTAATAGATTATAGAAACAGGTACAGGTAACCAAAGGATGGAGTGGAGTAAGAGGTACCATGGACGTTACTCCTAAATGTCTCATTTTTTGCCAAACTGTAGTTTAAAGCACAAACTAGATAATTAGTTATGTTACTATGGGTTCACTTTCAAATTAATTCTACCAAGTAAAAGCAGCTGCTTACATGGACTAAATGTCACAAAGTTGATGACATAGCTACACCAAGACCTGTATGTATTCTCTAACAAGCTACATAATTTGAATGGTTCTCTTGTCTAAATGGAATTTCTGCTGGGGTACTCCACGCTTCAAGTCAATTTTTCAGCCTTACATATTAACAAAAAACAGTTTAATTCAGTGGGACTAACAGAAATATGTCAAAGTTAGGACTAAGACATTTATCATGTATTAGATATGACAGCATAAGCAATTTTTCATCTTAATAATGCTTTTCATAACTATAATTTCAGTGACTATGTAAGATTTCATTGCCTGGACCTCTCATCATTTATTTAACCATTTCCGTATTGCTGGCCATTTAAGCCTTTAGTTTTTTGTGAATGTTATAAATAAGGCTACATTATCCATCTTTGTGAGCAAAGCTCTTCCACAGTTAGCTGTAGTTCTAATTTTATGTAACTTAAGTGATGGTAAGTAGAACATACTTTCTCTAATAATAAGACCTAACATTTTAAAGTTTTACAATATGTCATTATGCAAACATTGTCTTGTCTTGCATAATTCTTTAAGGTGATGCTTACAGTCATTAAAATGATCATAATAATTAACTTACAGGCGATTTTCCTTTTGCAGCAGTTAGCAGGCACATAGTTACCTCTGAGAGATCATCAAAAAGCAAAAAATCCAGCTTCTCTCCATATATTAGCTGAGGAACTAGAAGTAAATCACAGAGTGTGATCAACAATAATTTAATCAAAATTTTAAAAAGTATGAGTAAAATCTTCTTTTCTTCTTTTTAAAATATATTGACTTTAGAGAGAGAGGAAAGGGGTGAGAGACATCAATTTGTTGTTGCACTTATTTATGCATCCATTGGTGGCTTCTTCTATGTGCCGTCACTGGAGATTGAACCCGCAACCTTGGTGTAAAGTGATGACGCTCAAACCAACTGACCTACCTGGCTAAGGCTTATTTTGCATACATTATCTGAAGTTGCAAGTTGTGCATATATATACTGATGCATTTGGAGGGCATGCTCCTGGGAACCCTTTCTAGCTTAATGAGTTTTCGCTCATGGTACTGTACATTCAAGCACTGCCACATTGGGGTGATAATCCACATGCTTCCTCATACTGACTAAAGGAAAAGCAAATTATTACATGGTAACAGAAAAGGCAAGTAAACAGAAAACTATCTGTAGCCAGTAGCCTATTTCCCCACTGCCAGTGCTCTCTAGAAATTATTTCCTTCAGATGGCAAGGGTCTCTTTGTAAAAAGAAATACATTTCCAATTCATCAGGTGTAAAATCTTCTTTGCTCTTCCAGTCTCATAATCAAGTCAGGTATTGGTTACAGCAGCCCAATGGGGCAAAGACACATGCCCAGCACTAAAGACACAGCAGTGACCAAAACTCTCCAAATCTGTGCCCTCTGGACTCTTTGGAGATTACGCTCTGGTGGTGGAAAAGAGGGAAAAAAGTGCCCCAGAGTATTCGTTATCTGACAAGTGCAGTAAAGAACGATAAAGCAAGTAAGGGGTTAGGAAATCTCAAGAAGGATCGGGTAGAATTGTAGCTATTGGTTGTGGAGTGGTCAAGGGTAGGGGTCCTTTGACAAGATAACATTTGAGTGAGCAGAGGACTAAAGGAAGTGAAGAAGCCATCCCTGCGTTGTCTGCGGGAAGAGTGTTCTAGATGGAAAGACTATTAAGCACCCAAGACAGGAACATGCTTGGTGTCCTGGGATCAGAGATGGGGGGTCAGTGTGCCAGCAATGCTGGTGAGCAAGGGGGGAACGGGAAAGGGGTCAGAAACGAAGCTGAAACTAAATCACAGAGTTTTTTAGGTCACTGTTAGACTTTGGATTTCTTTCTGAATGAGAAAAACCACTGGACAGTTTTCACCTAATTCGAGACATGACTGACTTGCATGATTACTTGTAACTATGAGGAGAATAAACTGCAGAACGGCAAGGGAAAAACCAGGGAGACCAGGTAGGAGGCCAAGGCTATCATCCAATTAGGGAGATGGTGGTTTAGAATAGAGTGATGATGAAAGACAAGTTCGCCAGCAGGAGTTTTAGCCTGAGCAGGAAAGACAGGGTTGTCATTTATTGAGGTAGATAAGATGGGTGCAGCAGATTAAGTTCAGCTTTAAACATGCTTCTTCTAAAAAGATACCAAGAAGGCAGCCGGGTACCTGAACGTGGATTTTAGAGCAGGACAGGTCCATGTCAGAGACACAAATGTGGAGTCTATCACAGTATTGACGGTAAGTATCACGGAGGAGAGCACCTAGACCTGGGACACCCCAAACTTCAGCTTTTAGAGAAGAGGAGCCTGCCAAGTAGACTGAGAAGGACTGGGCAGGGAGGAAGAAGTAAAACTTCATGAGACTTCAAGACGAAAGCATTTTAAGGAGACAGTGATCAGTTTGGTCAATACCACGGATAGGTCAAGGAAGAGGAGGGCCAGTACTGACCCCTGAATTTAGTAGTCATTGGCCAAATGGGTGCAGGTTATTTGTCCCAGCTTCCCTGAAATGAGAAGATCAAGGTTCCAAAAGATGCAGAAAACTGAACACCAAGGTCACATAGCCAATCAGCAGCAGAGCTAGGCCCAGAACTCATAACAGAACACAAGCCTTCAGAGGTTAGCCCTGTTTCTTGAATCCCAGAGCAGGCTCTTCTTTAATGGCTTATTATAATGTCATCGCCCCTGGTAACTGTGATGCAGGAGAGGGACTCAAAAAGAACATGCAGCCCGTAAAGGGGAATAGAGATCAAAATGAGAACTTCGGGACATAATGACAGTGAGACAATGGTTTAATGTTTCACGACAGAGACAATATCCTTCAAAGCAAGTGAGACAGGCGGCTACTGCATGCCCAGGTGTCCAAACACACTTCAATCCAAAGAAATGTTCCCATCTCTTCCAAGGAGTTCTCTGTGCGTGATACTTCACTGGATGACTTCCATGTAACCAAACAGATCAATACCCCCTCCCCTGACCTGTTCCTGTATGTTACTAGCACATGTAGGGTCAGGGTTTGAATAATGAGGTTCTCATTCCCAGTCCTCTTTCCTTCACTTGATTTCTTATCAGGGTGCCCAAAGGGGGCGGGGGAGGAAGGATACATTTTCACTTCAGATTTTATTTTTGAATTTAATTTTAAGATAAAAAAAATAACAAATTTTAGGGGCCCAAAGGCACAAGAGAGACCTGAACCTTTTAGGTATGAAGGCCAGTTTTAACAGTCCCTGTTGCTCCCCTCAAATCCACAGCCACCACCAACCAAGGAGGCTTGGTCATTTAAGAAGCCCACGGCGCTGCCTATATCTGCAGAAGGGTTTTGCAGACGAGGAAGAGTTCCAAAGGAAAGGCCGGGGTGGTGAAGGGGCGGGAGGCGAGGCGGGGAAAGAGGAAGGCAAGCAGTTTTCCCGGGACAGGTTGAGCAGACGGCTGGCACCCGGCCGGTTGTGTTGGGAGAGGGAAAAGGTCGCTGCAAGGCTGAGACGCCTGGCGGACGAAAGCCCAAGCGCGGAGCTCTAAACTCTGCAGAGTTCCAAGTGCCAGCGCTGGGACTCTAGCGCCCACACTAGGTGTCTCCTCCCTCCAGGGCTGCAGCTAACTCCTCGCGCCTCCCTTCCAAGCTTTCCATCCGGAAAAGCAGGGCTGAGGGGAGCTTTGTGGGAGTGAATGCGGGCGCAGATTGCAGCCGGGTTACCTGAGGCCGCCGTGTCTCCCTAGAAGGCAGAGGCGCAGCCGTTGCGAACGGCGCAGCTCCCCAACCCCGGCTGCTCCGTCGCGCCGGCCTCCGCCCGCGTGCCCAGGGTCCGCGGCCCTGCGCTCCACGTGGTTGCCCGGACAGTCGCCCGCAGCTGGCGCAGCGGCCTGACACAGCTCGTGGCCGCCGGACAACACCCAAGAGCCCGACTGCGGGTGCATTCTGCGAGTGACGGCGCCCGGCGCGTCACCTACGAGCCAGGCCCCACCCGCGCCCCGGTCTTGGGTCTCCAGGCCCCAGTCCCTGCCGCCCTGCGCTCCAGTGATTGCGACAGCCATCTCCGCAAGACAGACGCGGAGGGTTACTGGCTCAGCGCCTCTCGCTGTTTTTGTAGTTTGCGCCAAAGATGTAAGATCCTCTTGCAATCCCCATTCCCTTACAAATTCTGAGTTTGAAAAGGAAAAAAATAACAACAAGATAAAGATATGGGAACCCCCCGACCTTCCCCATCGACTTCTCTTCCAAGGAGCTAGAGAACTGTATCAATACCAGCATTCTTTCTTCAGCCAGGTCTGTGAAGAAACTGTTTATTTATGAGAAGCAATTTTAAGAGCTTTATTTTAAAATAAAAATAAGCTCTTATACTTCAGATGTTTTATATTTATTAACACATTCAGCAAAACAAGCCAGCGAGATTGTACAGTTGAGGAAACACACAGACAAATCAGTCCCTTTCCCAGGGTCACAAAGCTAGGAGTTCAAAGTGGGACTTGAAACCCAGGCAGTCCACTCCAGGGTCCACACTCTCGGTTCTCAGGTTATACTGCCTCAGCAGAGACAAATTCACTACGATCTCATTTAATCTCCACAACGAACCTACTGGGTGGGTACTGGTACTGTTCCCATCCTACAGACAAGGAGACCTAGGCACAGAGAGACAATAATGAAGCTAGAAAGTGCGGCAGGCAAGACGACAGTAGCCTGTCTGATCCTTAACTACTACGTGGGAGGGGAGGTGCTGTTTTTGCATATTCATTCATAAAGAGGGAGAAGGCATCACTGAGAAAGTGTATGTCTCTTTCATAACCTTCAAATACAGAGTCCCTGGGCATTAGGCTCCCTCCATTGGTGTCTTTCCTCTGGCCTAACACAGGGCAGGCCACCTCTCCAAGTAGCTCTACCATTCCCTGCATGCCACCAACTTTGCCAAGAACATAAGGGGTCCTAGCCCCAACGCAGAGCGGCACCAAGGTCCAGTCATTTTGCCAATAGCTGGAGGACTCCTCCCTGAGTTGGGCATGCCATATTTAAAGTGCCTACACATGTGAGCACCACCCCTTCTCCGGGATGCTTTATTCCTATGAAGAGGGATCTTCATCCCTGGCCTCCGGGATGCTTTGGGAAGGAATAATCAGGGGTACCAGTACCACCAAACCCTTTTTGCTCCTAGTTGGGAAACAGCGCAGCTCTCTGAAGGGAGACAAGAACCATCAAAGGGGAGACACAGAGGATGTGTAAGGCCATGACCAAATTAGCAACATGATTTATCTCAGTTCACAAAGTTCATTTCTTTCTGCCTGCGGAGACCAGGCCTGTTTTACTCAATGAATGAGTTCAAGGGATTCTGGGGATGATCAAGGGAAAAGATACAACCATGGGAAGGGAGTAGCACACAGTGTGCTTTATCTGGGCAACATTTTGACCAGTTCACATGTAGGAGCAGGAGAGAGGAGTCCCAGGCAGAGGCTATCCAGAGGCTATGGACCATCCAGGGACCATCCAGAGGCTATGGCAGCATAGGGGTCACCGCCCAGAAGAATCAGAGGGTAAGGGAACAACACCCTGGAGGATGAGGATGGGAGAGGGGACTTACACGTCTAGGTGAGGCCGCTCAGCTACCCCCAGGGAGTCTGCATCAAGGAGCTCCCAAGGCCAGCGGCAGAGTGGGATGTTTAAGAGCTACCAAGTTTAT